ACCAGAGATAAGATATTAAATTTTTTCCTAATTGCACCATTTATCAGGATGATTGTTATTGTGTTTTGTTATTTATTCCAAATTTAATTTGATGTGCAAGTTCCCTATTCTGATACAAAAGAAAATTTTGGGATAATATATTTTACTATAGGGGACTACTAGCTTTCATAAACCTAGCAATCCCTTAGTTTTTTTTTTTTGATTTTCTCAAAAACTAGAGGAGCACCTAATTTTTAATTAGAGGCCCTTATTAGCACCTAAAAAGCACCTAATTATTATATACATTCCGAAGTTTTTTTTGCCATTCTGACACACCAACAAGTAGACGTAAAGCCAGCAATCCCCGAATAATTTAAAAAAAATCTATAACTCAGTTAATAATTAAGTAATCAATTCTATTTTTTCTTCGACTATTTAGGAGCACCTAAAAAGTACCTAATTCTGATACAAAAGAAAATTTTGGAAAAATATTTTCTACTATAGGGGACTACTAGCTTTCATAAACCTATAGCAATCCTTTAGTTTTTTTTTGATTTTCTCAAAAACTAGAAGAGCACCTAATTTTTAATTAGAAGCCCTAATTAGCACCTGAAAAGCACCTAATTATTATATAGATCTCGAAGTTTTTCTGCCATTCTGACACACCAACATGTAAACGTAAAGTCAGCAATCACCTGATAATTTTGAAAAAATCTGTAACTCAGTTAATAATTAATCAATTCTATTTTTCCTTGGACTATTTAGGAGCAACTAAAAAGCACCTAATTCTGATACAAAGAAAAAATTTGAAAAAATATTTTTTACTATAGGGGACTGCTAGCTTTTATGAACCTAGCAGTCCCTTAGTTTTTTTTGATTTTCTCAAAAACTAAAGGAGCACCTAATTTTTAATTAGAGGCCCTAATTAGCACCTAAAAAGCATCTAATTATTATATAGTTCCCGAAGTTTTTTTCCATCTTGGGACTGCTAGGTTTAGAGACCTCAAACTTCAACGACATAAACTATTTTCTTCACAAGTTTGTGAATGAGATGATTGACATTCTTTATAGTTTTTTATATGAAGCCTTTGATCTCTTTGTACCTGTTAAAAGAATAGCTAGTGGAAGGTAAGTCGCCTACCTTCGGATTATTTGGCATTTTCTGAATTGCGCTCACAGTGCAATCTGCTCTCTAGGGAGACCTTTCGTGAATACCTAATTGAAACTGAATCGGCATTGCAGCGTGACCCAAAACAGTTCTGGTCCTATACCAAATCTATACAAAACTCGAGTAAGCCTCCTTCAAGTTTTAGATATAATGGTGAGTCGGCAGCTATGGGTCTCCAAGCTGCCAAACTCTTTACCGAATACTTTGGTTCAGTCTATACTGATCAAGTATTGAATTTTCCAGATCAACTTTCTCTATCTGCTCACCGTTTATTTGATTTCACTATTCTTATCTCTGACATTTACATGGAGCTAAAAAAAATCGACTCAAACAAGGGACCAGGGCCTGACCATATCCACCCGCTCTTTCTGAAAAACTGCTGTTTTGTTTTGTTCAGACCCTTGCATATAATAATCAACAAGTCCCTGAGAGACGGCTTCTTTTCCGAGCATTGGAGTGCCAGTTATGTGGTGCCGATTCTTAAATCCGGTGACTAATTATTGCCCAATTTGCATCATCAGTGCAATTCCTAAATTCTTTGAGAATATTATCACAAAATTTTTATCATCTTCTTTAAGCAGCGAAATTATATCCGAGCAGTTTGGCTTCAAAAGGAGGACATCAACGGAAATTAATCTTCTCACATACTCTGACTTTCTGACAGGCGCCTTGGAGAGGGGTGAGGAGGTACATACTATATACACCGACCTCCAAGGCATTTGACAGAGTCAATCATTTAGTCCTGACCAAAAAACTAGAGAGACTTGGTATTTCTGGCTCTCTGCTTCAATGGGTGGGGAGTTATCTTAGAGGTAGGGTACAGATAGTTCATATTAACAACTTTACCTTCTTCCCAAATCTTGGTGTCATCAGGTGTTCCTCAAGGCTCGCATTTAGGCCCACTGCTCTTCAACCTGTTCATCAATCACATATATTCTTGTTTCCTACACTTGTGCTTCAAGCCCTTTTATATATTTGTAATTGGGGCTTGCAAAGTCAATTACATCAGAAAAGTGCTTAGTAATTTGCAATTAAAAAAAAGTAATTCAAGCCCTTTCAATGGGCTTCAATTACTTTTAGAGGGCTTGATTTCTGGGTTTGTCTTTCTAGGCCTTACGGAAATGATTCGATTAACCCGATCACAGGCTGTTTGTTTTTCATGGAAAAAGACAAGTTACATGAGCTGGGGATCGGGTTAATCAGCGTTTTGTTGAAGGCCTAAAGCTTAATTCTCACTTGCGCGAAATTCGCTCTTTTTTGACATTGCTTTGAAAATTTGACGTTTGATACACGCATTAAACGTCAACCTGTCGAAGCAATGTCAAAAAAGAGCGAATTTCGCGCAAAAAGAGCGAACTTCGCGCAAGTGAGAATGAGGCATAACACTCTGCATGTAGTAAAAAGTTTGTTCTTAGATTTGACCGGCTGTGAAAGCCTTTTATCGGGTCTTCAAAAAAAAAAAACAATTAAAGATTGCTTTGATTATAAAAACGTACGTCGCATTATTGTTTTTTCACTGGTCAGGATTTTTGACATGACATTTTGACATTTAATATCATTGACAAAATTAAAGGAAAATATTGTTAAGACATACGTCTAAAAAACCATAGCAATCTTTGATTGGTTTGTTTTTTGAAGACTCGATAGGTCTGTTTCGTGCAGAAATCACAAACCAGTCAGAGCGCATTTCATTGGTTGAAAACAGTCAGAAAACTAGTTTCGACCAATGAAATTCACTCTGACTGGTTTGTGATTTCTGCACGAACAGACCTGATATCGATGATACGATATCAATATCATCTTAGCACCAATAGTAGACATTCTACAATTAAAATCAATGTTGTATCATTGTAGAATCATTAAGTTATTATTTTTCAATTTTACCAATTTTACCAGTAATATTAGGTAAAATTACCGGTAATTTTACCGAAATTTATTTTACTGGTAATACTGCCCATAAATTCCAGTATTGTTTGTGCTCGAGACTAGGGTGGAAATATATATCCATAATATTTCCACAAAAACCCTTTTTTCGATGAATCGCAATTATTAGTTTTACCCCCTTAATACACCCTCAAAGTAATTTGCAAGTCAAGTGAGGTTCCTCAAACGATGTATTTTGGTACCACACTGTATCTATAATAGAAAAAAAATATGACATTTTAAAGTTTTCCAAAATCTAAATCAAAAGGTAGCTACTATACAAATTTTGATTACGGATATATAAAGGCCGGTATTAGTTAGAAGTTTTTAAGTTTAAGATTGACTGTGAGAGAATTTTGTAAGAATTGTAAAGAGTTAAGTTGTTTGAGTTAATTAGTGAAGTAATTAGTGTCAGAGTGTGTAATAACGTGGAATAAATTCTTGTTGTGTTAATTGAACTTTCATTTTGGAATAAACGAACCCAAGATTTATGTCACGCACCCCAGAGCCGTGACAATATTTTTTTTTGTGATTAGAATAATAATATGTACCTACCTATTTGATTTTTACAATCTTAATCATTCTAGCCAATGGTATGAGAAAAAACTATAAACATTTAAATTAAGTACCTCCAAAAACAAGGGACTCAAAGTCCATTTCATTTTATTCGAAATACCTTTAATGCCTATATACCTTTCCAGTCCATTAATCCAGCTCAAAGAAGGATTAAGTGAATTATAGCCATGGTTTTACATTGTCCTGAAAAAGGACACGAAATTGTCCTCCGACCAAAAAGCATATCCTTTTTCGAAAGTTTTTGCATCTATAGCTACGTGTTTTAATCCACTAATTATTGATTAACGAAGTCTTAATACTAAAAGCACATTGCCCTTTAATCCTCTTTTAATTAGACTTAGCAACGTGTGGCTTATGTAGTTGGGCTCTTGCATGCGATAGAAGGGCTCAATAGCTAATCAGTTTATAAATTTTTGCTCAGCTTCAATTAATATTTTCTACACATAGAAAGGCTTATATTTTATGCATGTTTTTTCAAATCAATGTTAGGGACAGGACGTTCCAAAAGTCGTTGTCCTCTATGGCTAAATAGAAATGTTTTTATGTGTAACAAATTATTTTAAATAAAAAAATCTAATTACAAAAGCTGTAAATAGCCTTATACAATATGGTTGCTGGGTACAAATTCTTGTCTCGTCTAGCTGAAGCTGAGAGAATTATGACCAGGTGAAATTAAATTACAAGAGCCAACCAAAATTATTTCACCCTACAGTTTAGAGGCAAGATGACATATTTCATAAAACCACATCGTAACTCAGGCGATTCTTTTTTTTGTTTAATGCAAATTTCCCTCAAACAAGATCGCCAAGAAAGGATCACTGCTAAAATTTTCCTGGAAGGTAAAGGCACGCTGAATTAAACACTTCCAAGTACGTGTTATGAATGTCAGAGTAAACGATCCGGCTTTAAATGTTCCATAAGTCACTTAACTTATGCAAAATGGACCTTGGTTTAGAGGTGCGAGTTTTGGAGTTAGCAATTTTCATCTTACAATGAATAAAATATCTGTTTATAACAAAATATACAAGTAGAGTCCTTTTACTACAACAAGTTGTAAATAATTTTTAAGTAAAAACATCTCCAACTCTCTAACTTCTTTCCCAAATGAGCAGTCATCGTTTCTAATGGAGTCGCATTTAACCGCTCCCGCTTTTGGGGAATTTATCCTTCAGGAGGGCTCGGAATGGCGTTAGTTTGTTAAATCGTCCAATTCCTATTCTACACACTTAATGAAAACGACGTTGTGTTTATTCTCCGTGGAAAACTTAAAATTAGACAAGCCAATATCCTCGATTTATAAATAAACTTTTCTTGTTCTATATTTAATGTGGCATTCAGTATAGTACAGGCATCGTTTTGAATTACAATGTCAAACTTAAATAAGTGCAATTTTTGTCAAAACTCAGCTCAACAAAAATGCAGTGGGTGTCAACAAATATTCTATTGTTCCAAGGAACATCAAAAATTGGACTGGAAATGCCACAAAAAAAATTGTCAATGTTTTAAGGTAAGAAATTATCAGTCCACCAATACCTGCTAAAATACTGTAGTACTTTGAATCGTTTAAGATCACATCAAATAAAGAAATAGGAAGATTTTTATCAGCAACAAGAGATATAAAACCTAATGAAATAATCCTGAAAGAAAAACCACTTATTTACGGACCTGCCCAAGAAACAATACCAGTTTGTTTAGGTTGCAATCAAGAAATTTCTACTAATAATTATAGATTGTGCTCTAAATGCCAATGGCCAATGTGTAGTGAAAAATGTGAAGCCAACCCGAGTCATTTGCCAGAATGTAACTTCATTAGCAAAAGCAAAGCAAAAATATCTCCAATTCCTAAACATTTTTATCAATGCATACTTGTTCTGAGATGTCTTTATCAAAAACAGCACAATCCTAGTTTATGGAAGAAATTAAATCTTCTAGAATCTCATTGTAAGGAGAGGCAAACAACTCCTGGATATTACAATGAAAAGGTTATGGCAACTGAATTGATACAAAAATTGTTTAAAATGGAATTTAGTTTAGATGAGATTTTGAAAGTTTGCGGTATAATAATGGTAAATGCTCACGAAGTGCCTTTATCAGAACCACCTTACGTTGCAATCTATGAAAAAACTTCAATGTTTGAAAATAATTGCAGCTCGAACTGTTCCAAAACTTTTACAGAAGCTGGAGAAATTTTGATTACTTCTGGTAAGACAAGACATTTACGTAAAGTTTATATTATTTTTTTCTATCAGCATTAGTTTTTTGAAAAATTTACACTAAAAATTTATTCATTCCAGGAGTTCAAATCAAAAAAGATGATCATTTAAGCATATGCTACGCTGATCCTTTATGGAATACTACAAATAGAAGAATGTTTTTAAATGAAACCAAATTCTTTTGGTGCACCTGTAAACGTTGTACAGATTTAACAGAGTTTGGATCCTACTTCAGTGCTGTCAGCTGTCAAAATAAATTCGATGGTGGTATTCTTTTACCTACTAATGACGACGAAAACTGGATTTGCAATAAATGTAATTCTACTGTGCCTAATCTTTTGGTTAATAGTTTATTGGATAAAATTGGCAAAGAAATATCGGATTTGGATAAAAATAATGTTAGTAAATGTAAAGCTTTTATAAATAAATTAAAAGGAATTTTGCCTTCAAACAATTTCCATTTGGTTGATGTTAAACTGGCACTGTCTCAGCTTATTGGGCAAACCATGGGAGGATTAGCACAAGTATCTAATGAAGATTTGGAATTAAAACGTTCCATTTGTGAAGAGCTAATTAAATTAACTGAAACGATAATTCCCAGTAAGTAGTAAAATATTTTTTCTACAAACGTGTTAAAAATGCAATTTTTAAAACCCCCCCGAAGCATTAAAAATGTTACTTTATCGCACTAGTGCCATAAAGTCTTTATAGCACTAGTGTTAAAAATGAAACATCAAATTTTGAGAGCGAACGTCAAAAAAAGTTTGTATTTTCAGTTATTTACATTGATATTAATGGTGAAATTTGAACAACTGAGGTAGCCCGATTGGCCGCCTCATGTATATTTTTCAAGGGATCGATGCAACCCTCTTTTTCTTCTGTATTTTGTTGCATTTTAAGCAAAAAGCATTACTGATCACGACAGACTTTCAAGAAACTGACAAGACATTTCATTACCTGTAAAACAAGGTGCTGGTTGTTTGGACTTTTTGAAAAATTCAGTAATTTTATGTAGGAAAGATGCTTCCAATTTATTATTCATTTAAAAATCCAATTTGTTACTGGTTATTGCTTTTTATGACCGTTTGTAGAAAAAATATGTATGATATTTGTGTTAAAAGTATTTTTAAGGCACTTATGTGAATTGCAGAATTCGCTTCGCTCATTCTGCAAACTTTCACATGCGTGCCTTAAAAATGTACTTTTAACACTTATATCATAAATAACTATTATGTAAAATTATTTAAAAATAAAGTTTTTTTTTAGGTGAAAAACGTGTAAGGGGTTTGCTCAAATTTGAACATCATGCCTCTTTAGCTGAGTTAGCTAGAAGATCAAATAAAAATAATCAACAAATAAAATTAATATTAAAGGTTATTATTATTGTTTTAATTATTTTAAATATTGTTTGATTATGGCTTTATTACAGGAATCTGCTCTAAATCTACAAGATTGCATTGAACTACTTAAATATGAACCAAAAATACTACCAGAAGGCCAAATATGCGAACAAGCCCGTAAAAACATGAACGATTTAAGTAAATTTATTATTGAAAAATAAAGTTGTCATTAAATTGGATAGATGGAATCCCTTTTCCTTTAAAACCTTCAAGTTTATCACCTCCAATTCAACGTTCCTTAATTAACTTCTGGCTTTAATTAAAACGATAAACAACATTGTCTGAAGGACTTTAGAGCCTCTTGGAATCCGGGAAATGGCAAGATGAAGACAGGAATTGTTCACATATAATTCACAGAGGTCTACGGAGATATTAATTTACTTTTTGTAAGAATTAATTTAAAATGCGACGTTGCCTCACAAAATCGCTCATTACTCATTATTTGATATTTTACAAATTCCGATAATATGCATATTTATACATTTTATTTATACCTTTAAAACTAAAAAGGTAATAATGTAGTCTACTACATATTCAATCAGAATTGAATGCTCTTTGAGATGAAACAAAATTGAATCATTCATTTCCAATAGTTTTCGAGATGTTGAGCCTCGAAATTGAAAGTTTGTCTCAAATTTTGGAAAACTTTCCAAACAAGATTGTATAAGCAATTGTGACACTCTATGTAGGTATTTTGCAAAGTAGAATGGGGAAAGTGCTGAATTTCTTTCAGCGTATATAGTTTATACAAAAAAGCAGTTAAAAAAAAAAATTGCAACCATTTGGAGGATGACTATGGACATCGTGTCATATTACATTATGTAGGTATCTGTAGATGTAATGTGACATAACGCTTATAGACGTCACAGACAATTTCCGAAACGCGCGCCTGATGTTTTTTGTACAGGGTTATTGGTTATAAATGTCACCCCCCTCTATCCTTTCCATTTGACATTTTAGAAAAAAGTGTCCCAAATAAAAAAATTATGGTTGAAATTAAATTTTTTGAAAAACTCACTTTTGCATATACAGGGTGTTTCAAAAAATATGGTCGCACTCCAACTTTTTTATTTTAAATTGAATACCCTGTATATTATTCAATATTCGGATTCTACGTCAAATTCTGAGCAAATTTCATCTGATATACCCTATACCTAAGTTCAACTGTTTTGGAAATATTGACAGTTGAAAATTTACTTTTTTGCAACTTTGACAGGCTGTTAATCCTAAAAGGGTAATTTTAGAGCAAAACCGATCTTACATTTTCATCTTAGATTTTAATAAACTATCAGTTGACACCAATATTTGACATCAACTTTGAATTTAAGCCCTGATTGAATATTCCAATTAAATTTAATTTTCGGTTAAATTCAAAGTTGGTATCAAATGATAACTTGTGAAAATCTTAGAAAAAAATGTAAGATCGGTTTTGCTCAAAAGTTAACCGTTTAGGTTTTACAGCCTGTCAAATTTGCAAAAAGTTCAATTTTCAACTGTCAATATTTCCAAAACAGTTGAACTTAGGTATAGGATATATCACATGAAATCTGTTCAGAATTTGACGTAGAATCCGAATATTGAATGATATACAGGGTATTCAATTCAAAATAAGAAAGTTGGAGCACGACCAGCTTTTTTGAAACACCCTATATATGCAAAGGGGAGTTTTTCAAAAAATCTAATCTCAACCATAAATTTTTTATTTGGGACACATTTTTCTAAAATGTCAAATAAAAAAGATAGAGGGGGGTGAAATTTATAACCAATAACCCTGTACATAACCTCAATACTTATTTTAGAATAATCAACAAATATACAAAATAATACATCCGTTTGAGGTTTTTTGAATCTCCAATACACAAGAAATTGTTGTTATAAAACTATTTACTTTTTACATGCAAATATTCATTACACCTAATTCAACTCACCGGTTTGGTTTGTTGAACACGGTGTAAAAACACAACAATGTCCGACTGTATCACAACTTGTATTTTTTAAATGTCGTCTAGTACAGTGTGATTTTTTATGTGTGCAACATATGGGGATTTTTTTTTTAGTAATAGCACAACCCAAATACAAATAAGGCCAAAAGTTGGTGCATGTCTGATAATCATATTAGGTACACTAGAATGGTTGCAAGTCAAACAGCATACAGGGTAGCTCAAACAATATCAAAGCTGGTACTGTAAAGTAGGTACTTACCCTTATTTTAGAAAATTCAGCAAAATGTTATAGAGAAAAGTTGTTTGGAATTAAAAGTTCTGCCCTAATACCAAAACATAGCCTCCTAAGATTTTTTTTATTTTCTTTCGAAAAAAATCTATAATTTACGAAGGCGTAGAAGGGACATTTATTAAATTTTTATTTGCTGGTAGAGATGCATAATTAATTCTATGTTAACTAACTCGGAATTATCCCCTCCTATTTAATTCCGTGTTAACTAACTCGGAATTAATCCCCTCCTATTTAATTCCGTATTAACTATCTCGGAATCAATTTCCTCTTAGTTAATTTCGTGTTAAGTAACTAGGAATTAATCTGCTCTTATTTAATTCCGTGTTAATTAACTCGGAATTAAATAAGACGGAATTAAATAAGAGGAGATTAATTCCCAGTTACCTAACACACGTTGACAACAAGTTGAAACATTACTAATGATAATAGCCATATTAAAAAAATTCTTTTTAAAGTGCAAAAGTTTTATTTTATTTAAGTAAATATTAGTAGAATTTTGATATTTTTTGAGCCACCCTGTATGCTGTTTGACTTGCAACCATTTTGAGTGCGCCTAATATGATTATCAGACATGCACCAACTTTTGGCCTTGTTTGTATTTTGATTGTGCTATTACTAAAAAAAAATCCCATATGTTGCACACTTAAGTAATGACACTGAATAGACGTTGTGTTACATAACCTCTATGAAAACTAAGATCTACTATAATATCGTATCGATAGCTGTTTTGGTTTCCAAAATATGGCCTTTTGAAATATTTGAAAATTAAATTTCCTTGCATAACCCTTAGAGAGAAAGCAGCAGAGACAAAAAAATCTAAATTCTTTTAATTTACATAGTATTTACATAAACTTGACATGAAACTATTGCAGGTAAGAAAATTATCTCAAAGGACCCCGCACACTTCTTATGGGATTTCTGACCGCGGTCAAATTTAACCAAATTTCAGTATGTTATAGATCTCACGTTTCTGATCAATAACTACCATGGCACAACTCAATCCTATGACTAGTTTTTAAGATAGGTACCTGTATCTCGAATTAATGTCCAAAAAATGTATAAATTTTATATGCATTTACACTATCATCTGAGCGTGAGGATACCTGTCCAGTGTCCATCCTGGTCACAGGTAAATTTAAATGCATTAGGTATAAAATGTATAGGTACATTTCTTGGACATTAAACTACCTGTATCTCAGAAACTAATCATAGGATTAAGTTGTGTCCATGGTCGTTATTGATCAGAAAGGTGAGATCTATAACATAACTAAAATTTGGTTGAATTGAAATAAGTGTGTTATAAAATCAGATGTGTCTATTGAGATCAGTACCTAATCAGAACTTTTAACTGGCTACTTTTGGCAGTATTATTAAAACATCCTATAAAAATTCCCAAAGAAATTTTATCAAAAACAAGAAAAATACCCTTCATAGATATTAATTTATTAAATTCCAACGTTCAAGTACACTTTGGATAACATAAAATACGTTAAATCTGTTCCTGATGGGTCCCGATATGGCGAATATTTTTCGCAAATTCGAGATCCGTTTCCGATTGTGGTCTATGGCCAGCTGACTATGACGTTTTTGATGTTCATTGCCTCGTCATCCATAACGATTTTATGACCGCTGTTCCGATAGGGAATTATTTCTAAAAATTGCTTTGCTAAAATTGTCCCTATTTTAACCCTATAAGTGGACCTTTTTCAAATGGATGAAGATGTTCGAATGGAAATTTAATGACCCGGTATTAAATTTGAATAGAGTTTCAAAGTTTTGGGTCGGGTAATTATTAATTTATGTAATACCTAATTGGGGTTTAAATAGAAGCTTGGATTTCCAATGGGATGTGATCATTTTCACACAATAAAGTGCCACCCTGTACGCAAAGTTCCTAGGGAATTATGTCAAGTGCTCTTTAAAAAAATCTGAAAAGGTTTCTGACATGGTTTTCGTCCCCTGCTGAGTTTTTACGTGAAAAATAAAAGATCCAGTTTTTGTGAATATATCCAGATAAAAAGTCCCATTATTTTCTTTCAATTGCTACCACATATTATAAGCCAAATAGCCAGATATTCGAGAATAAACAAGGACATAAATCCAGAGTTAATTTGATTCCTTTATCGATAACATAGATAGTTCATCTTTTGATTTCTATTTATTCCAGCCCCAAAATTGTTTACTTATTTTATGTGAATTATTTTAAGTATTACTTAATTAAAAACGTTCTAAAATAAATCAGGTTTAACAATAATAAATAATTTTACGGAAATTCCAAAAAATGCAATTTTAAGTGTTTTACCGGAAAACTATAAATAATTCCATGTCGTTTAAAAATAGTTATTGCAAATAACTTATATGTTGTTTATCTGCGTGTTATTTGTTCAATAATCAATTTTCACATGAACCTATGTTTGTGGTTTTAGCTCCTGTATAATTTTGAATTAGTCACTTTTACAGTAAGTTCTGTTTTCTAATAATTATGCGATCAATATACTCATAATAATAATAATTAACCTTGATTTTGAATCTTTGATTAGGAAAATTTCCTTGAACGCTGTAAAAAAAATAATGAACAAGTGCAAGCTGAGACAATGGAAATCGCTATATTGAATAAGTTGTTTGATTTAATTAGTCGTAATATAACCACATGTCCAATTAATAATGCAATAAAATATGCATTGTTATTTGCGCAGGCAGAACAGCACAAAAAAATTAATACAATTGATTTTGCTTTGTTTTTGAAAAGAAATATTAATTGATGCAAATTTATGAAAAAAGATTTCTTTGTTGATGATTGGTAGAACTACTAGTTTGAGTTGAACAGGTTTTTTAGAAAAATGGTCAAGTGAAGGCAGGTTATTACTGGCTTTTGAATATGAATTTTGATTGTATTTTCAATATTTTTTAGAAAATTGAGGTCATTTTGAAGAGCATTTAA